CGATAAATAACATCTCCTGTATATTTCTCAATCAAATATGATGTGTTCTTTCGTAATGTTAATAAATGCTTATTAGGTAAACAATAGGTATTGTAAGTTGACCATGGCACGACATTTCCATTCTATTTTATCCCGTTCGTTCTAGCCCCTCTCGCCTGCCCCCCCCCCCCACACACACACACACCACCACCACTACCACCAAACCGGCTGAGTTGGCTGAGGCGAGCGCCTCCCCTCCCTTCATGCCAAACAGCGCCTGGCTGTCGTGACCTCTGGCCTCACCGCCCGAAGGCTCGCCCGCTGTCCAAGGACGCCCTGCGCGGGCCGCAGTGATAGCCTCTGCCGAGTCCCGCCTCTATCCACCGTTCACCACGCGCTGGATTCATTCATGCCTCTGTGTTTCAGCGTCCTACCCGTTGGGTGGCACCACTGTAGTCATAGGCGACTGCAGGCAAGCCGCGGTCAGAATGCCCCAAACGGCGAATTTTGAGGTTTTCTTTTATTTTCTCCGAAACTAGCCGGCATACGATCAAACCTTTTTCCATGACCATGGAAGGGAGCTATACGAATAAATCGGTCACATCTTAAAGCCTACAAAGCTGAAGACGAAAAAGATATAGCCGGAAAGGCAAAACCTACGCTTAAAACCCGCGGGACCTGTACATGCTATTGCTCTTAGCAATCGCTGAAAGTTTCAAAGCGATCGGTCACTCGGTGTAGCTATGACAGACATTGAAAGTTTTTATGAGGTGAGGTCACTTCAAGTGACCTGGTGACCTGACCTTGAATGACCTTGGTCTGAAATTTTCACAACATGTGTAGAATTGATGTATGATAAGGTGTACCAAAAACGGCGGCGCTCCGCGCCGCCGTTTTTGAGATATTCGCGAAAAACCACAAGGGGGGGTGTTCAAACACCCCCCCCCCAGCAGGGCGCGGGTTAAAAAGGCGCCTTCGGCGCCACGAAATGATCGCGGAAGGCGCCATCCAGGGCGCCGCTAGATTTGGGAGGGGCCCAGTGTGCCCCCCCCCCCTTGGCTGCGCCCCTGTAGTCAATATACGTAAAAGGCTGACTAACGTAAATATGAATACAGTCCACATCGCAGAAATAAAGAAGAGAAGAAGCTCGAAGAAATCCCAGTTCACCAGAGCCTGCAACAAAGCTGAGACGCTGATATTGGTGAACGGATCCAAGGAAGAGATCCAGAAGGTTCTGCTACAGGTCGATGATCTGGCAGGCGAGCTCGATGAAGCTAATGGTCAGCTTTTAGAGCTTCTGACTAGTGATGACCAGAGGCAAGCAGCTCGCGACTACTAGGCTGATAATGCAAGGACCCAGCAGGAGGTGAAGCAAAAAATAAGAGAGCATCTGTCGTCCAGAGGCGATGACGGGAGGTCCGTATCGAGCTCCAGTTCTTCTCGCTCCACGGCCGTGTCAGCAGTTCCTGTGTCCTCAAAGCAAGCCCGACGCCAGGCTGAAGTTGCAGCTCAGGTGAAGGGAGCTGCGGTCAAGCATCTCCGAGAGCAGCTGGAACTAGAACGGGAAGAGGAACGGCTAGAGAGTGAACGGAAGAAACTGGAGAGAAAGCAAAGGCTTAAAAGAGCAGAGGCTGCGGCGGAAATATCGGAGCTGGAAGCCAGACTGCAGCAAGCCGCTGAAAATGACTTGGCATGGGAACGAAGGGACGATCTAAATGATAGTTTTGGGCCCGGTGAAGACGAGCAGCCAACTGAAGAGGCAACTGCAGCAGTGACTGCAGCATCTGTACCGGCGTCCACAGGAGCTGCCGCCAGGCCGCCATCTACAGCTACTGCTCACAGAGAACAGAACCCTCCAGCAGGAAGAGCCGCCACGTCGTGGATCGCTGAAATGAACAGGTCCGAGAGACAGGATTCTGTCGGCCCCAGGTCGACCAGCCAGCGGAGCGTGCCTCAAATGCAGCTGCCCCGTTTTGGCGGCAATCCTAGTAAACAGGCTGGATCGGCCTGTTTAAGACACTAATTCATGACCAAGCGAGCCTGTCAGACGCCGAAAAGATGGCTCACCTTCAATCAGCAGTCACGGGTATCGCAAGACAGCTGATTGAAGGTATGCTGCTCGATGGCTCCTACTATCAAGCGGCACTGGAAGTGGAGACTCTGATAAGAAGGTTCGGCAGGGAGAAGGATATCGTTGAAGCCAACCTCGCTGCCGTGCTCAATGCTCCGCCGGTGCGACACATGGATGTCGCCGGTCTGGAGAAATGCCATGCATCTGTGCATTGTGCTGTAAAGGTGCTGCAAAACATGGGTTTCACTGGCGACCTGGACGGCACCGAAAACCTCCGACGGGTCGTAATAAAGCTCCCAAGTGACCTGAGAAGAGAGTGGGGAAAAACGGTGGTGGAGATGGAGCCAATTCGTCCATCACTGATCGACTTTGAAGACTGGCTTGACAAGCAAGTGCGGATTGGTCTAAATTCAACAGACCGGCTCTATTCTGCTAATGAGTCGCAGCCGAGAAATCGGATCAGAGGAGAACCTCAGAAGCAGAGCCGCAGCGCTATTAGTGCAACGGACCGAACGGCTAGTCAGGCCAGCGCCATGACCGCTGCTGGGATAAGCGGTGGAGCCGCGCTAATGGCAGCGCGCGAGCAGCAGACGTCACCCAACGGAGCTGAACGACCGAACAGCGCAGCGCAGTGCGCTTGTGACCAGCATCACGTGAACCTGCCTGCCTGTCCTGCATACATTCAGAAAACGAAGACAGAACGAGCTTTATTCGTCGCCCTGTCAGGTCGGTGATTTTCGTGCCTTCAACTGGGGCACCAGTCTAGAAACTGCATCTCTGGCCGCCAGTGCGATGAGGACAGCTGCACCGGACGGCACCATCCCACACTGCACGGGAGCAGAAGAGTGCCATCCCACACTGCACGGGAGCAGAAGAGTGCTTCTGCGCTGCAGCGTGAGTCTGGCACCCCTGCTGATCTCACCGCACTGTGGCCGCAGCTGCGCCAGGCTCTGAGCGGAGACTGTGCCCGTCCGAGTGATGGGATCAGAGGGAAGATTTGTAGATACCTTCGCACTTCTCGATTCCGGGGCCCAGGTATCTCTCTGCAGCGAAGACATTCTAAAGACGTTGAAACTCGAAGAAGAGGCTCAATCCCTCTGTTTGGATAACATCAAAGGAACTGGACGCACAAGAACGGCACTGAAAGGGGCACTGGAGCTGCACCCCCTGTCGCGGGACGCAACCACCACCTCCATAACTGTGGATGAAGTCTGGACTGTGCCGACTCTCAGCGTGCCGTCTCCTAAGATAAGCCGCACAGAAAGAGCTGAATAGAAGCATATCGAGGGACTGGACATGCGTGACGTTCGTCCCGAACAGGTGAAGGTGCTGCTCGGTGCCAACGTCTCCGAAGCGATCATCCAGAGGGAAGCTCGTGTCGGAAAGAGAGGCCAGCCCGTCGCGATAAGGACGGATTTCGGCTGGTCCCTGTCGGGGACTGTGGCAGGACTGGTGCCACCCGAACTGCAGCACGTCCTGCACGTGCATCGTGAGGCCACTCAGGAAGACGAACTGGATAGCCTTTTGAAAGAATTTTGGCTGACAGACTCATTCGGCGCAAAATACAGCTCGAAGACGGCTGCGTTTGAATACGATAAGCGCGCCGAGCAGCTTCTGCAGACCACTACGAGATGGCGTGGAGACCGCTATGAGACTGGTTTGCTATGGTGTGAAGATGACATTCTTAAGACGTCGGATTAATAGCCTGTACCAGGTGACTCCTGGAGCGGACATTGCTGGAGCGGAGCCTGTAGATCGGTGATCTGGTGCTGCTGATATAGACAATGTTCCAAGAGGTCTCTGGCCCCTGGCTCGCGTCACGCACGTTTTCCCTGGCGCGGATGGCCGGGTGCGGTCGCTGGAGCTGCGCTGTCGACAGAGACTTCAGCAGAGACCCGCAACGAGAGTCTGTCTCCTCGAGGAGGCCGACAGGCCACAGCTGTGAATACGAAGACTACAGATGTGTGAACTGTGCCCGGCCTGGAATGCGCGTGCAGTCACATTCAGGGGGGAGGGTGTCACCGCCCGCAGCGGTATTACCATTATCAGAGCGCGAGTACATACAGTTTCTCGAGCTTACAAAAGCAGTGATAAATTTGTGCTAAAAATAAGTAGAACTCTCGTTTAATGCCAACCTTGATTCGAACCTTAATTTTGAACACAGTATCGTTTATCGTGTATATCGACTCGATTACTTGACTGCCTCGATTGATTCATTCAATTATACTCATTCATTCATTCATTCGTTTTCGCATCGCTTCGTCTCTAATCTCGATCATAACTTCTTTCATTCATACCTCATCCATTCACATCATAACATCATGTTTTACCTCTGCATAACATCGACTCGTCCGTAACAGTATATAATACCGAATCGGTATTGGTTCGGTATCGGTATACGGAAATTTCGGTAACCGATTGACACCACTAACTCACACCTTGTGGCTTTATTAGCTGCAGCGACCTGCTGCGGTGTTCGCGAATATCTACAGATAATAAACGGGAGGGCAGAGCGCCGCCGGTTTTGGCACACCTCATCATACACCTCTGCACATGCTGTAAAAATTCAGACCAGTCATTCAAGGTCAGGTCACAAGGTCACTTCAAGTGACCTCACCTCATAAAAAGTTTCAATGTCTGCCATAGCTACGCCGAATAACCGATTGCTTTAAAAGTCTCAGCCAATCGATGAGAACAACAATGTGTACAAAATGTGTATCTCGGATATTTGATATCGGTGACCTAAGGGCAAGTCAATTTGCGACCTTCTTTTTGCGACCTTTTTGTGCCTTCTTATTCGTTCCATTTGGTTAGCATATGCAAAATGTACACACGTCCGGCTGACGGCTGGCCGACCACAGCCTAGCCACGGCTGTGGGCGGCTGTAGCTGTGGAGCCGCGGCTAGGCTGTGGAAAATTGCAGCCGTGCAGACTTCTAGCTGCGACTGACCTGTCCTGCGCTTGCTCTTGTCTTTGGCGACTGACTGGCCGGCGGCCGAGGCGGCGCCGCGACTGCTGCCAGGACTGGCCGGAGTAGAGGTGGCGGCGGCAGTGGCGGCGCGGCCCAGACGCGGCGTCCAAATCCCCGATCTGGCGTCAAAAGGTTAGAGTCGAAAAGAATCACGAGTTGAAATGCGTACAGAGAAACGACCAAAAAATACATATGAAACTCAGCAAAACATTTATATTATTAAACATGCACGCGTCCGACTCGGCGCGAAAATTTCACCCCCGTAGCCCGCACCGTTCCGGAGCAATAGCCCGCCAAGCGTGACGGACGCGTCACAAACATACGGACGTTTTGATCTTTAAATATGGAACTAGAGGGACAGCATTACGCGCAGCGAAATAAATCAATTTTCATTAAAATCGGCGCAGTAGCGGCCGAGTTATTGCCAGAATAAATGTTGCGTCTCCTCTTGGCCGGCGGTGCTCTGTTCCGGTATTCATTGCCAAAGGTCAGTGACCTTCCGGCTCTGATTTCACCCAGTTTTGCAAGCGAATAAACTGAGCCTAAGGCGCGTGCCGTCTGATCGGCGCCGGCCACGGCCCAAAATGCTGCAAAGATGCGCCCGCCACGTGCACACCACCGAACCCACCCCCTCCAAAATTTAATACAACAAACAGATGCACGCGTCCGACTTGCGCCCAAAATTCCACCCCCGTAGCCCGCACCGTTCCGGAGCAATAGCCCGCCAAGCGTGACTGACGCGTTACATACATACATACGGACGTTTTGATTTTTATATATGTAAACTAGGTGTCCAGCATTACGCGCAGCGTAATAAATCAAGTTTCAATAAAATCGGCCCAGTAGCGGCCGAGTTATGGCCAGAATAAATTTGGCGTCTCCTCCTGGCCGGCGGTGCTCTGTTCCGGTATTCATTGCCAAAGGTCAGTGACCTTCCGGCTCTGATTTGCTCAGTTTCGCCAGCGAAGAAACTGAGGCTAATGCGCGTGCTCTCTGATCGGCGACGGCCGCGGCCCAAAATCCCGCAAAGATGCGCCCGCCACGTGCACACCGCTGCACGCACCCCCTCGAAAAGTTGATACGACAAACAGATGCACGCGTCTGACTTGCGCCCAAAATTCCACCCCCCCCCCCCCAGCTCGCAAAGTTCCACAGCAATAGCCCGCCAAGCGTGACGGACGCGTCACATACATACATACATACATACATACATACATACATACGGACGTTTTGATTTTTATATATGTAAATTTGCAACATATAACATGAACAAAAGGTTATTCACTCTATTTACATTATCAGTCATGCTCAGAAATACCATAGCTTACCTCCAGCCTGGAGGTAAGCTTCCAGGAATAGTTATCTCAATCAAACAAACGGGCAAGCGAGAGGCAACGCATTAAACTTGCAGCAAAAATGTTAACCAATGATGATTGAAATATAGGACCTATACTTTCAGTCGATATTTGCATGACGTCTTAGGCTTTTATAAATTGTATTCAGTTGCATCATTTCTTTCATTATTTGGCACGCTCAGCCTTGATGATTTTTCATAGAGTCGAAAAGAATCACGAGTTGAAATGCGTACAGAGAAACGACCAAAAAATACATATGAAACTCAGCAAAACATTTATATAAATATATTGGTGCAACAATTTTGACATTGTTAAGAGGATTTCGGGGAAAGATAAGCCACCGTGCTTGTCAGTGTTGCTGTAGAAGGAAAGGTTTTGGTTAGTGTTTAGATAAAACCAGAGCCGGGTGGGGCTCGAACCCACGACACCTCACTCGGCACACAGATCACCCAGCCCCAACGCTACGAACACCTGTCACCCTGCGCCCCTGCGCAGCTTGCTGGATAGTGTTTCGGCAAAAGTTGTTGGTTGAATGTATGACGTCTGTGAATGTCACGAGGCCAAGCCCGAAGGTAAATGAGGGAGCCGAACCAGGCTGGACCGGGGTCTTACACCCAATCATGCTCAAACAAAACAGAAGTTAGTTTTGGGTCATATATTCTTATGATTTTTTTTTATAGTTTTTTATTTATTTTAGTTTATAGATTTTTAATTCGAAATTTTATACACAAAAATGCGATACTCGTCCACTTTTTCTCATCCTGTTTTAGAGACTAAATTTGACCTTAGTCCGTTGTGACCAGTCTTACAAAAAAAAATCGACGGCCATGACAATTATTCGCCAGAGAAAAATCTACGCAAGAAACACCACCGAGTCCAAAACTGGTGAACAATATATATCTGGTACTGGAATTATCTTTAATGAAAATTTCAGGATATATTCAGAATCTTAATCCTTTGAGCTAATGGGAGCTCGGAGCATTCGCTAGTATTTCACTGCCAGCTGCATTACCAACATCACTATCATTACTAACAATAATACCTACCACAGCAACATGCATTACCAACATCACATATGCATTACTTTGAGTGCGTCATAGGTGACAATAGATGAAACGGCCACGGCAAACCCATACCTTCATCCTTTCCTTTCAAGCAGCCAGGCTACGGCCCGCCACCGCGATATGGAACAGCGAGCCGGCTGGAATGCGTAATTTGCCTGCGGCAGCGCCCAGCTGCGCCGGGGCAGCGGGGCTGTTTGACAGGTCACCCGCACCGTGACCTCGCCCCTCCCCACCAGGCCCCGCTCGGTGCTAACCTCCCCTTGAATTTGACATGGACTCGACTAAGGCTCAACGCCATCTACTGTTAAAGGTAGTGTGCCACCTTCCAATGATTTCCCATTTTATTTTTCCTAGGGTAAGAAGCTTCTGTTTTTACCTAATATCGCAAAAAAATCAAAAATGGGCCTAAAATAGTGCTTTTTTCGCCTAAAAGTTTATCGGTTTTTCGATATGTATAACAACTGTAGTGGGCTGACCTGCAAACAGGCGTCGGCGACAACCGCGAATGCGGCGCACATGTGACAATAAGCAAAGGTCATTATAGAGTTACGACGTACGGGAATGAGTTATCAGCTGTCTAATCGTAGACAACACAATGTCGAAAATAAACTGTAAGCCTGTATTGGTATTGTTTCTTTAATTTGGCTATCGAACATTAATTTAAGGTTTGAAATATTATTTTATGTAAAATAATTGATATGAAACAGCCGTATCTAAAGTTATGACCCCATCTCACCACATGAAAGTGGCAGAAATGACAATGATCGGCTGACGCATTTTTCTTGGCCGAAGTCAGAGCGCGCGGCCCGACGCACCACCACCGCGCCCAAAGCCAGGGCCCCGGTAACGTGAGGTAGCCGAGTCGGGGCAGCGTGCGCTGACCCAAGCCGGGGCCGCGGCTTTGGGCGCGGTCTACCGCATCCCCGGGCTATCACATGACACCAGGAGGACGCGCGGCCCCGGCTTGGGTCAGCGCACGCTGCCCCGACTCGGCTACCTCACGTTACCGGGGCCCTGGCTTTGGTACAGGCGTGTTAAGAAATATGAAAAATGTTGGTGCTGGTATTGACAACATCAATTCAAAAATATTCAAAAATACATATTCAGCAATACTCAGTCAATTGGTTCATTTAATAAACATATCGTTGAGAACTGGAACATTTCCTGAAAGTATGAAGATGGCTGTGGTGAAGCCATTATACAAATCTGGAAGTAAAAATATATTTAGCAACTATAGACCCATTAGTATCCTTCCCTATCTTTCCAAACTTCTAGAAAAGATTGTACACCAGAGAATCAATGCATACCTCATACAGAATGACATATTATGTAAGGATTAATTTGGCTTTCAAAAATCCTTATCAACATACATGCCTATAGTACTCCTGCAAGAACGAATAACAAAAAGCATGGAAAATGGGAAAATGTCCTCAGCGGTATTCATTGACCTTAAAAAAGCATTTGATACAGTGAACCACAACATACTCATCAGCAAATGTCGTAAATACGGATTTACTGGTTGTGCTCTTCGCTTTATCAAATCATATCTCACAAACAGACAACAATGTGTAGAATTTAAAAGTACTAGATCCTCTTTTCAAAGTATTAAGCTAGGAGTGCCCCAAGGCTCTATCCTAGGCCCCTTACTCTTCCTTATATACATAAATGACTTAAAAAAATGTATGCAAAAAATCAGAATGCCTTCTATATGCTGATGACACAGCCTTACTTTTTGAAGGTGAAAATACACAGGAACTACAAGAAAATATGAATAACGAACTTGAAGCTGTATCCATTTGGCTTCAAGCAAACAAACTCACACTCAACGTACAAAAAACCATTTACCAAGTATACAACCAAATGGGTAATATCATTAATTTGAACATTATGATACATGGTGAAAAAATTGAAATAGCAGAAAAAGTAAAATATCTAGGCATCACTATTGACCCTGCCTTGAAGTGGAAATACCACATCGATAACATAGCAATCATTATCAGTAGAAATATTGGAATCTTGAGTAGAGCGAAGTACTTTCTTCCTGAAAAATCATTACTCTTGCTCTACAACTCACTGATTCTTCCTTACTTAAACTATTGCTGCCTAATCTGGGGTTTCACATATCCAACTGATCTCCACAAAATCGAAGTATTACAAAAACGAGCAGTTCGAATTATAGTAAATGAACATCGTCTTGCACATACTATGCCCATATTTCGTAAGCTCAATGTTCTTAAAGTAAACGCACTAGCTAGACAACAACTTATCATGTTCATGTATCGAAAATTCGCTTCACATTTACCATCACAACTTAACCAATTGTTTACTACAGTAGATCAGGATAATATAAGAACAAGAAATAGACAACATTTTCACGAACCCTTCTCGGCAAAACGTTATCGTGCACAAATAGCATCATGGATAGGACCGCGTGTCTGGAATAATGTCGTTGCATCCCAATTCTCTATAACAACCATTAATCAGATATCTAAATCTCAGCTAAAAAGATACGTCAAAGCATACTTCATACAAAATATGTAAGCTTTTTCGAGAATTTCCTCTGGAATTCTCGCTATCCTTTCATTGCAACTTAATTCCAAATGTACTTGCCTCAAAACTGCACTAATTGCAAGTAAATCACGTTTCATCGAAATTATTTTCATCATCGTCACCATGAATAACTCTGGCGCTGGAGCAAGGAGCCTGACCAGCAACAAGCTTCGCTTAGCTGGAAAGGCTTTTCTGCCCTCAGCATTGACCGGCCGAATTTTTGACCAGAGCGAATCCCCACGTATGTTTGCATGACGTGTGAATGAGCGATTGTTTTTTCTACTCTAGATGAATGCATGCCCTTCTGAGTGAAAGTTGCTTTCGGTATCGTAGTAGAGAACAGTCATCTGTCTGGTTTCAGCAGTGGCTACTTTCGCATTCTGTTCTTGTTCCCGCCTAAACCCGCTACCCCTTCTCTCATTTGCTTTTTTTTTAGTTTTATTTCCTTTCTTAGCAGGGAGTGCCGCGACTTATTTTATCTGGTGTAAAAAAGTGTTCGAAACCGCAGGAGATGATGATGAACGGGTTTATCGAAACTTGATTGGATGAGCCTGTCGGTAATAGCGATTTCAGTGTGTGCATTATTGTTCATAGTGGTGTTAAATGTGGTTGGGGTACGACCGACAACCCGTCGGGGCGAATTTCGCACTGGGGTACTCAAAATTTGAAGAATTTAAGACGTTTCCATGAGTTTTGAAGGTATGGATAAGTTCTAAAAATCCGGTTCTCCTTATCTGGGCCATTAACTCCATACGGTCCAGGAAAGCTGGCACACTACCTTTAACGCCAGACCCCTTGAGACCCTAATTTTTCGCAATTATTTTTAAATGCGTGGAAGAATTTCAACCAAGCTCAGGACATGGCCGTTTCAAGACCTGCCGAAACTTTTACAATTTAGATATTTTATCGCCATTTCAATATTTCAGGCACTTCTCATTGACTCGTAATGTTAAATTTCGAGCCAGATTTTCACCCATTGTGTAGAGGCTATCACCAGTCAGTGATACGTTATGACGTCATAGCTAAGCCCCGCCTATGTGGTCTTGGCCTGCGGCGGTTTCGGGCCGGCGCGCGGTCACTCTCGCTGTGGCGGGGAGCGGGGGCGGTCGGGCGGTGCCGCAGCCGAAAGCCGGTGGGGTTGTGCGTAACATCTTCGCTGACAGTGCCCAAAGAGCGACATGATGACTGAGGAGCCATAAATGCTCAATGCACATTGCTTGTACAATGCTGATATGTTCGCTGATATTTGTTTTATTTTTTATAAGCTGCAAATGACGGGCAGATGGCATAAATAACTGACGTAAGGTTCGGAAATATTCACCTGTATTTAAAGCCTATGGCGTTGCAGATATGCGATAATGGGATGTCGGATGTCACCAAGTAGCTGCCGATTTGTACATCGCTACCTATACAACCATCGAACAACGCAATAATAGTTAATTGCCTTCGCTTCACATCATAAGGCTCGCTCGTATTTCAAACAAATATCCTACATCGAAAATGGTATTTGTTAGGAATCGTTAACCTTTGTTCGAAGCACGTGTGAGTAGTAGGTTGATGAGTGATGGTTCTCTTGGTCCTATATACAAGAGTCAACAAGAGCCTCACATTTACTTGACCGTCTGCAGCAATTGATTCATGCAAGTGAAGCGTCAGCGAAATTCATAGTCCTTTACAGATGGCAGGGGTGTCGTTTGTACAGAGGTCGCTGCTGGGCACGGGTCAATGCCGCAGTCGTGGGCGGAGCCAAATTTCATATGACATATGAAAGCCTCTATCCAGGATGGAAAAACAGTTAACATTACGAGTCAATGACAAGTGCAACAAATATTTAAGTGACAACAAAATGTATTTGAAGAAAAAGTTTCGGCAGGTCTTGAAACAGCTACTTCCTAAATATGGTTGAAATCATTCCACGCATTTAAAAATAATCGCGAAAGATTAGGGCCTCAAGGGATCTGGCGTTAACAGTAGTTAGTCTGGAGATCCTAACTAGATCCACTGTACATGCTACTGAATATATGTACCAAAAACAAATTCGATATCTTTGTCCGGGACCGAAATATTAAAAAAAAATTGGAAATCTTTCTGCCCCAACCTGTAGATGGGTCAATATTGCGACCCTTTGTGTCCTGACCTCTGTGACCTGACCTGGCATCACTGACCTCCTAAGCAGCATACTCGTATGTATTAGGCGACTAACGCTGCATCGATGATTTTCGATAATATATGCCTTTTATTCGATGTTATAACGCATTCTTAGAAAGCCCGTAATCGGTGAAAAATGCGACCTTTGACCTGACCTGTGACGTCATCAGTTGCACCTAGAACGAAACTTGGTCACAAAGTAGTTCCTGGTGGCGCTATCGAACGCCGTTTGAATTTTCACAATCGGTCGGTAACTTTCTGATATCTGGGGGCGGGGGAACGCCCCCCCCCCCCACCCACCCAAAACGGGTGGTAGGGTTCGCCAATAGCCCAACGGGGCGCGGATTCAGCATAAAAACTTGCTCTGAACTTTTCAGATGGGTGCTTAATTCGAAATCAGCTCCAGAAACTCCCTTAAAAGTTGTAAAAATAAAAATAAAAGTTAACCGGGGTATTCTAAGATCAATAATCACCTCTGCCCTGCGGCCAGACTCACCTATGCCAGGCGGCCAGACTCACCTCTGTCCGGCGGCCTGACTCACGCCAGACTCACCTCTGTCCGGCGGCCAGACTCACGCCAGACTCACCTCTGCCCGGCGGCCAGACTCACCTCTGTCCGGCGGCCAGACTCACCTCTGTCCGCCGGTCAGACTCACCTCTGCCCGGCGGCCAGACTCACATCTGTCCGGCGGCCAGACTCACCTCTGTCCGGCGGCCAGACCCACCTCTGTCCGGCGGCCAGACTCACGCCAGACTCACCTCTGTCCGGCGGCCAGACTCACGCCGACTCACCTGTGTCCGGCGGCCAGACTCACGCCAGACTCACTTCTGTCCGGCGGCCAGACTCACGCCGACTCACGCCAGACTCACCTCTGTCCGGCGGCCAGACTCACGCCGACTCACCTGTGTCCGGCGGCCAGACTCACGCCAGACTCACCTCTGTCCGGCGGCCAGACTCACCTCTGTCCGGAGGCCAGACTCACCTCTGCCCGGCGGCCAGACTCACGCCAGACTCACCTCTGTCCGGCGGCCAGACTCACGCCGACTCACCTCTGTCCGGCGGCCAGACTCACGCCGACTCACCTCTGTCCGGCGGCCAGACTCACGCCGACTCACCTCTGTCCGGCGGCCAGACTCACGCCGACTCACCTCTGTCCGGCGGCCAGACTCACGCCGACTCACCTCTGTCCGGCGGCCAGACTCACGCCGACTCACCTCTGTCCGGCGGCCAGACTCACGCCGACTCACTTCTGTCCGGCGGCCAGACTCACGCCGACTCACCTCTGTCCGGCGGCCAGACTCACGCCGACTCACCTCTGTCCGGCGGCCAGACTCACGCCGACTCACCTCTGTCCGGCGGCCAGACTCACGCCGACTCACCTCTGTCCGGCGGCCAGACTCACGCCGACTCACCTCTGTCCGGCGGCCAGACTCACGCCGACTCACCTGTGTCCGGCGGCCAGACTCACGCCGACTCACCTCTGTCCGGCGGCCGTCCGGGTCCGAGAGCCGCCCGATACGCTGCTCGGACTGGCCGATCGACTGCTCGCTGCAGAAGTCGGCTTCTGCAGCACTGCAACACGCCAACAGCCTCAGTCACCAATCAACGGCCCCCACACGCTACACCTGTCAATTTGAATCGGCATCCGTTCATTCAAATACCGCAGCGGGCACCTTATCTAGACAGTCAAAAAAAAAAAAAAAACTCTAAAAACTCGACACTGGAGCACGCATTTCAAAATGTTTCACTGGCTTAGACAAGCATCTGTTGATATTCGACCAGGGTCATTGAATATAGGCAGGGGCATCAAATATCGACAGAGGGCATCCCGTTTAGTCATATTGCATTTAGGTTGGCAGTTTGCAGCCAAATTAGACAATGGTCAATTTATTTCATCAATGCATTAAGCGGTACTTATCTTCTCGGAAATGTATTTCAACACTTTGTGTAAAAATGCTTCACTGTTCTGTAAAGAACTCCTCAATATAGACGCTTGGTTAATACACCTTTTTCAATCTGAATCGGCATCCGTTCATTCAAATACGGCAGCGGGCACCGTATTTCGACAGGCACTTTAACAACTGGGGCATTCCACGTCAAATCGAACAAAAATCGGCTGTTTTGCACCTTACCATCAGCGATTTCATTATAAATTTGTGAGCGAGTTCCTGTGTCGCCCCGGACATTACATTGATGTTTTTTGCACATTCTGACCACAGGTCTTCTAAATATAGGGCATCAATTTTTTTTAAAATGTTGCATCTTTATATTTTTGAACGACCATAACTTTGGTTGTACTTGTTTGATTTGAATGAAATAAACCTTACTGTTTAGGTAAGTTCTTAAGCATTTGTTTAGAATTGCACCTACTTAAATATATGACCTTGAAATTTGCTTAACTCTGTTCTTAAGCACAAAAATTGAATTAGCAAAAAACAAACCACCTTCGATTTGGTTCATTTTCATATATTTTATTGCCTACCATATTCTTAACAACCTGTGAAAAAATTAGAGTGGGCCAATCGTAAGTTTTTGAATAAAATGGCACATATGCAAACGTATGTTAGCACACGCAGTGGAGGGGGAAGAGCGAATTTCGCCCCACCCCTCCTGTTTTTCGCTAATATCTTATAATATTAATGCGAAAAAAAATTATGGCTTCCTGTCCAGAATTGAACTGCACATCTCATCGTGCAAGCAATAAGAAAATCGGTTCACAACTGTTCTAGTAATAGCGATGTAAAGTGAACATCCTGTCACCGCGGCGACGCGGCGACTCGGCAGCCGGCGCCAGCCGCTACGCGCCGCCTGAATTGTGTAGACTGTGCCGGGACGGAACAGAACGGTTCCGTCTTTACATCGCGCTCCTTACCGCTGATAACGTTCGATTCGCGTCAAATTTTGTGAGAAGACTAAGAAATGTACAGGCAATCTTATGGTGAAAGAATTTTGAAAATCGGTTGGTAAACAATTGAAATATGAACGTGTAAACACAAAACTGTGATTGCTGCGTTTCCCGCGTCGGCCGATCCCGCTCCAGCCGGCGACATGCTACTCTTAGCAGGCTTCGAACTGCCATATTTATTATTGGATTAGCTAGAAATTCCCCATACGTAATCAAAAATGTATGTTCTTTCGTAAAGTGAAGATAAAAAGACGTGAAGATATCGTTGCGTGATAATGTTTTCGTTGAATTTACTTCATGATGCATTTCCACACGGCTCAAAATTCACCGCAAACCGTTTGCCTGAGACACTTTTACTATGGAACGTGAATGCTTGACAACGATGACCATGCATTTCCATTCTCGCAGAGTTTGGTATATCATTATCAGCAATCATTCATTTCAGAAAGTGTACACAAGCAAGCATGTCTTGACTCTCACAGAGAGTAGAAGAGTCATTAGTTCTGCTCATCGTCGTGATGCAAGTCATTTCCGTAGTATATAAAAAACGACAATGTATTCAAATACACAATTAAAAAACAGAGCTTTCAGTAACAAATACCTTGATCACTGTGTGAATGCTAAAATGAAGGAATATTTTCAAATATTTCAAAAGGCCGTACTTCACATTGAAAAGTGTAACCATCTGCCTGACTGGGATGGGACGCATATCTTAGGAAAGAACATGACAAAACGAAAACGCAAAATCATCGAAGCCGCTCATATTATCTCACGCGAAACATTTAATACTATAGTTCGTTTTTTTTTTTTTTTTTTTTTTGAAAAGGACGCTGGCTTAAAGTTCAATATCGAAGCTCTCACGTGAGTTTTGGCAGCTTCAGTGTCTGGCTAAGAATTTCTTACTGAAAAAATAATCGATTTCAAATTGTGCACGGTAAGTAGCTGGAAATTGTTTCTTAAAAATGAACATACTATGATGACGTCACTGGTGGCAGCAGGCACCCAAATGTCCGTGTAATGGGACAAGTGTCAACGAATTTGGGTGAAACTTAGTTTTTCACTGTTGCCGAGCTTATAATCGAGTAGGCGGTTCCGTCCATGACAGTTATACGTTACATTGCAATACATGTTCGACAGCATGACGTCACCACTGTTCTCATATCTGGTTCCAAAACGCACATATGGAAATTATCGGGAAGAAAGCAAATGTTAAAATTAGTAGACGTTCGATTTTCTCAGGTTCAGTTTTTGCTCGTTTTGCTCGCTAAAACACGTGCTTGTTCCAAAAACATACTTGAAGCCAGCGCCCTTTTGAAAAAAAAAACGAACTATAGGAGTGGGTTCATTCCTTTAGCGTCTGGTGCTGTTCGTCTAGTAATAGGTAGTCCCTGAACTGTATCCCGTGCGATGAAGTCAATTTGCCTTTTGAAATATTTGAAAATATTCCTTCATTTTAACATACACACAGTGATCAAGGTATTTGTTACCGAAAGCTCTGTTTTTTAATTGTGTATTTTAATACATTGTCGTTTTATATATATATATATATATATATATATATATATATATATATATATATATATATATATATATATATATATATATATATATATATATATATATATATATATATATATATATATATATATATATATATATATATATATATATATATATATATATATATGTTACGGGCCAAGTGCGAAGGCTAGTCCGTTTGCGAACGGACTAGTCCATTCGCGAATGGACTAGGCCGTTTGCGAATGGCGGTCCGTTTGCAAACGGACTAGTCCGTTTGCGAATGGCCGGCCATTCGCGAATGGCCTAGGCCGTTTGCGAACGGACGGGTTTGTGGCGTTGCACTTAGCCGCCGGAAGCATGGATCCTCGGATTCGGGTACGATTCCGAATGAATGGGGGACCGCTGCACTGGTCGATGCAGGGGCGTCGCCAACGGGGGGGGGTCGGAGGGGTCCGGACCCCCCCCCCCCCACACACACACATATTCTTGAAAATATGCCGGTCCGACGCCCCCCCCCCCTCCCCCCACACACACACTTTTGGCCACGAAAATCGATCAAGAATAATATAAAATATTTTAAAAACGATTTTGGTGTATTCCCAAAATAAAGTTGTCTAAATCCGAGGAGCTTTCAGTATTTGGTGGGGATTACTTTGACTGACCGTCCGACCAGATCCCCTAGTCGAAAATCCGTGGCGACGCCACTGCGTCTATATGTTTAGTTTGTTCTCCGGAGCAGATCTGCGAGCTGGCGCAACTCTGGGTTAAGGTCTCCACACACCTGGTCCATTCGGGATGCGACTTTCCGCTGAACCCTGCACAACGCGGAAATTATAGCAACGTGTTGCCGCTGGCCAGGCTTCGGCCACCGATCTGGATTTGGGGAGGTCAAACATCCCCGTGACCTTCGAACAGCGGAGAGTCGCGTGGTGTGCGGAGACCATTAGTACCGTGCTCCGGGCTCCCCGCTGATGACCCGACCTGACCTTGGTCGAGTTTGTGGCGCTCGATTCATTCTGCTCTGGTGTGGTGTACCGGGACGGTGCGGCTTGTGTGTGGTGAGTGCGGTGCGGTGTATTCGAAAAACTGTTGTGTTGCATTGCATTTAACAATACGCGCACTGCAGGGGGGTTGCTTTCAACCCCCCTGTGGTTTTTCACAGATCACGAGAAAACGTCGGCGCGCAGCAAAGCCAAATTTTGTATACCTTTTCTCCCATATTCTGCGCATGTTGTGTGAAAATGCTGACTCCAGATGACCTAAGGTCAGGTCACCAGGCCAGGTCAAGTGACGACACCTCCGAAAAAGTTTGCACTTGCACCAAAGCTACAGCTGTTGAGCAATCGATATGAAACTTTCAGGATGTAGTAAGGGTGACACTGACCCGGTTTCCATGGGCACTTTGAGACATAGCTGATTACGGGAGGATTAGGGTTGTAATTCCGACCCGTACTCACGGTACCCATGTTTTTAAGTGGATTAGGGTTCGAATGCCTCAGTTTTATCGGCTGAGAATAAAAAAGTATCGGAAATTACGGTAAGCAGGCTGTAATCGCACTAATCCTTTATTTTACTGATCGGATCACAGAGCCATTCGAACCCTAATCCACTTAAAAACATGGGTTCCGTGAGTACGCCGTACGGGTCGGAATTACAACCCTAATCCTTCCGTAATCCGGTATAACTCAAAGTGCCCATGGAAACCAGGTAAGTATGTACAAAACGTATATCTCTGATTTGTTATATTCGTGACCTGAGGTCAGGTCAATTTCACGCTCTCCCCATTATATCTAAGTCAATGGGAGAAATATCAACTTACTCAGAATGCCATCCTATGACTTCAATATGCTCAGAGCCTCAGGATCATGGTATTGCAGGTCCCTGTTGGTGATTCCGCCGAAACATATCACTTGTGACCTTTGGAAGGTGATCTCCAGGTCATCCGAGGTTACCTGAGGTCACCAACTGGTTTTCTTCAATAACTCTTGATTGAATAGAGATAGAGACTTCGTTAGACGTTTATCGCGGTTTTACGCCTCCCCCCGTCTAACTCGACTCCTGAGCGTCGTAGCGACAAGCGGTAGGCGGCATTCGAAAGAGCGGTACAAACTAGTAAGAAAGTACTTGTGTCATTTTCGGTCAGGTC